AAAGAAAGAATGGTGTATACATTTAGAGGGTACAAGGGTAGTTTTGATACATGCATAGATTGCATGGTGATGATGTTTGGGCTTTTAGTGTAAACATCACTCTAATTGTGTGTGTTGCACCTATTAAGTAATTTTTCACATCCCATCCCCTTCTTACCCTCCCACCCTTTCTTTTGAGTTTTCAGTGTCTGTTATTTCACTCTATGTCCTTGTGTATACATTATTTAGCTCCCACTTATAAGTAAACATGCGGTGTTACACTTTGCTTCTGAATTATTTCGCTTAAGAGAATGGCCTCCAATTCTATGTATGTCGCTGTAAAGAACATTTCATTCTTTATTATGGCTGATTAGTATTCCATTATATACATAATGAAACATAGATACGATAACATAATCAACAATGTAGCAAGAAAATGTGATAGCGATATAAATGTGATACAGGTCTGTTTATCTATAATGTGACACACTTATCTGTATCACATTTTCTTTAATCGTCCATTGGTGGACACTTAGGGTGATTCCGTATCTAAGCGATTGCAAATATTGCTGTGAAGAGACATACCAGTGCAGATATCCTTTTGATACAATGGTTTGTTTTCCTTGGGGTGGATATTCCGTAGGGAGGTTTCTGGATGGGATAGTAGTTCTATTTTTAGTTCGTTGAGAAACCTTCATACTGTTATCCTTTCCACTGGGCAGATCAAAAGGGAGCCAGTGGGAGAGGGAGCCTAAGAGTGGGTCTAGAAGGAAGAACAGAATTGTCAGTATGCCTGGAGGAAGGGCACCGCCCTTTCTTGGTTATGAGAACAGTGTAGGTTAGGAGGTGTAGTACCTATAGTACACAGTGCTTTTAGGGACCTACAGAAACGTCTTCCCTTCCTTCCCTCCTTCCTTCCTTCCCTTCCTTCCTTCCCTTCCTTCCTTTCCTTCTCTTCCTTCCTTCCCTCCTTTCCCTCCCTTCTTTCCCTTCCCTCCTTTTCCTCTCCTCTCCTCTCCTTTCCTTCCTTCCTTCCTTCCTTCTCTCTTCTCTTCTCTTCTCTCTCTCTTTTTTTTTTTTTTTTTTTTGACAAAGTCTGGCTCTGTCACCCAGGCTGGAGTGCGGTGGTGCAATCTTGGCTCACTGCGACCACTGCCTCCCAGGTTCAAGCGATTCTCCTGCCTCAGCCTCTGGAGTAGCTGGGATTACAGGCGTGTGACACATCCAGCTAATTTTTGTATTTTTCGTAGAGATGGGGTTTCGCCACATTGGCCAGGCTGGTCTCGAATTCCTGACCTCAAGTGATCCTCCCGCCTCGCCCTCCCAGAGTGCTGGGATTACAGACGCGAGACACTGCACCCTGGCCATTTTCATTTCTTTTTGTTCCCTTTTATTTTGAGTTGATACGAAATACTTGTACATATTGGTGGGATACAGAGTGATATTTCGATACATGTATACAATGTGTAATGATCAAATCAGGGTAATTAGCATGTCCATCATCTCAAACATTGATCATTTCTTAATGTGCGAACGCTCAGAACCTTCTCTACTGGCTTTTTGGAAAATATAGAACAAATGATCATTAACCATAGTCCCCCTAGGGTGCTGCAGAACACCAGAACTCATTCTTTCTCTCTAGCTGTAGTTTTGTATCAGTTAACCAACCTCGCCCCATCCTCCCCTCCCGCCTGCCCTTCCCAGCCTCTAGTACAATTCTACTGTTTCCCTGATGTTTTCATCTCTTTTAAAATTAGAAGACAGAAACAAGCGTTTAGGTGAAAGAAAATGCTATAATGTATAATATTAACATATTCATTTTAATTTTTTTTTTTTTTAGGGTGGGTGCGGTGTCTCGTGCCTATAATCCCAGCACTTTTGGAGGCTGAGGTGGGAGGATCACTTGAGCCCAGGAGTTGGAGGCTGCAGTTAGCTGCTCTCCTGCCTGGGTGGCAGAGCGACATTCTGTCTCTGGTCTTGAACTCCTGGGCTCAGGTGATCCACCCCACTCAGCCACCCAAGTAGCTGGGATTAAAGGTAGGAGCCACAGCAGCTGGCTCCATTTTTAAAATTGAGGGCAAATTCACATAACATGGAAACAACCATTTGAAAATGTACAATTCAATAGCATCTAGTATTTTCATTATGTTGTGCAATAATTATCACCTTTATCTCGTTCTGAAATAATATATTTTTCTTTATATGAATGCAGTTGTAAAACAGAATTTTAATGTAGGCTTTTTTTTTTTTTAAATGAAGAAAGGGGTGCACAAAGAGAAAAGTTCCTCAGGCCCACGAAAATCACAATTTCTAAGCCGCGCTGTACATGCGAAGTGTTTAGTTGGTAGACGGATGGGCAGGTTTTAATTTTTATATGCATTGTGTTTAATGTTGTTGAAAAATATAATTCACATTTCAAGTAGGGGTCTAAAATTTCCATTTTACATACATTTTTAATTTTAATTTTTAAATAATTATTTATTTATTTTTATTTTGAGACAGAGTCTCACTCTGTCGTCCAGGCTGGAGTGCTGTGGTGCGATCTCTGTTCACTGCAACCTCCACTTCCCAGGTTCAAGTGATTCTCTTGCCTCAGCCTCCTAAGTAGCTGGGACTACAGGCACCTGCCACCACGCCCGGGTAATTTTTGTATTTTTAGTAGAGGCGGGGTTTCATCATGTTAGCCTGGCTGGTCTCAAACTCCTGAGCTCAAGTGATCTCTCCGCCTCGGCCTCCCAAAGTGCTGGGATTATAGGCGTGAGCCACCGTGCCTGGTTCGGTAGGGTTTTTTAGATAAGTGAATTAGGACACATGGATATCGCCAAATATAAGGAGGAGACACCAAAGTCTGCAGTTTGGGAAACAGCAGTACAGTGCCTGCCACCCCAGAGGGGCTCATGCACATCACGCTGTGGCCAAGAGTCATTATCATTTCATTCCCAAAGGACTCCCCGCTCTCCCTGTTGCTCACCTGGGCATTCAGGCAGAGTAGCTGCATTTACTGGGCACCTGCTCTTTGCCAGGCGCCTGCTGATTTTGTCCTTGTGAAAAGCCTCCAGGCTGGACACAAAACCGTGTTAATTTAGAGGACTAGCCTCTGGGTGCTTTGTCTAGGGCTCCATATGCAGCTGGTACTTCACAAAGGCTTGTTAATTTCCTTTGAGCCGCTGGGGCAGCCCCCAGAGGCTTGTGATAATCTCAGTGAAAAAAGAATGGGCTGGAGTCAGGGAATGTCAAAAGGATCCATTATTTTGTGGTTTGCTCCTCTTCCCAGCCATTCCCAGGAATGATTCTGGAGACTTGACCTTTTCCTGCCAAGACCTGATCTTAGAACCCCAGGCAGCGCCTCAGGTGTCCTCAGATGGGCACATCTTAACAGACTGACCTTCCCCCTCCCCTGCCTTTTTTTTTTTTAATTTTATTTTTATTTATTTGTTGCTCTTAGAGACAGGGCTGTGCTCTGTCACCCAGGCTGGAGTGCAGTGGTGCAATCACAGCTCACTGCAGCCTCAAACTTCTGGGCTCCAGCGATCCTCTTGGCTTGGCCTTAGAAAGTATTGGGATTACAGGTGTGGGCCACTGCGCCTGGTCTTTGTGCTTTTTTGGAGGGGTGGAGGTCTCACCATCTTGAAGATCATAGCTCACTGTAACCTTGAACTCTTGGGCTCAAGTGATCCTCCTGCCTTAGCCTCCCAAATAGCTAGGACTACCACCCCCAGCTGTTTTAAAATTTTTAGAAACAGGGTCTCACTATGTTGCCCAGGCCAGTCTTGAACTCCTGGGTGCAAGTGATTCTCCTGCCTCCGCCTCCCAGACAGCTGCGATTACAGGCCTGAGCCAAAACACTCAACCACCCCCGCCTTCTGAGAGTCCTTAGGAAGCGCTCATCACTCTTCCCAGCCTTCGCCATCTGCCCACGCCTGCCTTCTGTCCTGGCCCTCACCAGCCCCAGGCTTCTCTGTTTCCCGCAGATAGACCATGAGCAGCCATGGCAACAGCCTGTTCCTGCGGGAGAGCGGCCAGCGGCTGGGCCGGGTGGGCTGGCTGCAGCGGCTGCAGGAAAGCCTGCAGCAGCGAGCACTGCGCACCCGCCTGCGCCTGCAGACTATGACTCGCGAACACGTGCTGCGCTTCCTGGGCCGAAACGCCTTCATCCTGCTGACGGTCAGCGCCGTGGTCATCGGTGAGCTCTGCCTCCTGGAGGGCGGGGACTTCAGAGAAAGGCGGGGACTTCAGGGAAATTCCTGGCCCCTACACATCTCTTTGCTCCACCCCCTCATTCTCACCTGCACACACCTCCCAGTCCCACTAGCCACCCTCAACCCCACATAAAGACACACCACACAGATGAATACGCATGTGTGCAAACACAACTGTGTGCACACAATGTCATATGCATATCCTTGTGTATACACACACACACATATATACACATATACAATGTACAAACACACTTTGCACACACACATATGCATGCATTGAACTTATAGGTGCAAACACAGAAGCTTACGTGCACACTTGTGCATGTGTATTGGAACTTATAAACACATTCACATTTCCACATACGTTCTCCTGAGTACTCGTGCACACACTTACGAGTTTAAAAACCACATACATTCGCATGTTTGAAAATAGTAACATACACACAAATCACACCTATAGATGTCCAGGAAAACACGTGTGCATATTCATGTGTATATGTGCCTGTATACAGACACCTATGCCCGTTTACAAGTGAACGTCTACCGTCACATATCCTGGATATGTATACACTTACACATTTACATTTATACAGACATGGACACACATTTACACAGTATCAGTATGGTAACCCATACATGCATACATTTCTACAATGTCTGCACGCATCAGTGCACACACGAATACACACACTCATAGGATATTTCTCTCCCTTACTCCCACCCTTGCCCTAGCCTTCTTAGGGTGGATGGACCCTGCCTAGGGCTGGGCAACCCAGACTTCAGTCCATGGACCCCTTCTTTTGACCTTAGGGGTCAGCCTGGCCTTTGCCCTGCGCCCATATCAGCTCACCTACCGCCAGATCAAGTACTTCTCCTTTCCTGGAGAGCTTCTCATGAGGATGCTGCAGATGCTGGTGTTACCTCTCATTGTCTCCAGCCTGGTCACAGGTGAGAGAGCCCAGGCCAGTGTTGGCCTCCAAGACCCATCCGGAGCCTCAGCTTGAACCCAGAGCCAAGGCCATCCCAAGCATGGGACCACTTCCTTGACGCGGCACCTCAAACGCGGAGCCTGCGTCTGGTCCAGGGTCCTTGGCCAAGCAAAGCCCAGGTCCCGATCGGTCCCAGGTTCCAGACCCCATATGACCCCACCCCACTTAACTCAGTAGGCTTCCTGTCCATTTCCTTGGAGGTAAAAATGCCAGCTTGCAAGGGGCTCAGTATTACCTAGAAGTGAGAGAAGGTCTTGGAGGGGCAGCCAGGGAGAGTGGCCGGGATATGGTGTGGATGTGCAGGGAGTAGCGTGTAGATTAGGGTGTGGAAGGTGCATGAGATGGAGGTGACAGCTTAGTGGGTAGAGGGTGGGATGCGAGTATGGTTGGCTTATGCAGGGGTCCACAAACTTTTGCTCTAGAGGGCTGGATAGTAAACATTTTCAGCTTCAAGGGCCATACGGTCTCTTCTGCAACTAGAGTTGATCCTTGAACAATTTGGGTGTTAGGGGCACCAATCCCCACACAGTCAAAAATCCACATATAACTTTTTTTTTTTTTTTTCTGGAACCTCGCTCTGTTACCAGGCTAGAGTGCAGTGGCACCATCTCGGCCCTCTCACTGCAATCTCCGCCTCCTAGGTTCAAGCGATTCCCCCACCTCAGCCTCCCAAGTAGCTGGGACTACAGGCGCGCACTAACGCGCCCGGCTAATTTTTTCTATTTTAGTAGAGGTGGGGTTTCACCATATTGGCCAGGATGGTATTGATTTCCTGACCTCATGATCTGCCCACCTCGGCCTCCCATAGTGCTGGGATTGCAGGCATGAGCCACCGCGTCGGGCTCACGTGTAACTTTTGACTCCCGAAAAGCTTAACTGCTAATTGCCTATTATCGACTAGAAGCCTTACAGATAGCATACACAGTTGGCTAACTCATATTTTGTATGCTGTATGTATTATGTACTATATTCTTTTCTTTCTTTTTTTTTTTTTTTTTTGAGACGGAGTGTCACTCTGTCACCCAGGCTGGAGTTCAGTGGCGCGATCTCGGCTCACTGCAAGCTCCGCCTCCTGGGTTCGCGCCATTCTCCTGCCTCAGCCTCCTGAGTAGCTGGGACTACAGGTGCCCACCACCATGCCCGGCTAGTTTTTTGTGTTTTTAGTAGAGACGGGGTTTCACCGTGTTAGCCAGGATGGTCTCGATCTCCTGACCTCGTGATCCGCCCGTCTCGGCCTCCCAAAGTGCTGAGATTACAGGCGTGAGCCACCGCACCCGGCCGTTATATACTATATTCTTAAAATATAGTAAGCTAGAGAATAGAATGTTATTAAGAAAATCAGGCCAGGTGAGGTGGCTTATGTCTGTAATCCCAGTGCTTTGGGAGGTTGAGGCAGGAGGATTGCTTGAGCCCAGGAGTTTGATATCAGCCTGGGCAACACAGTGAAACTCCAGCTCTACAAAAAATAAAAAAATCAGCAGGACATGGTGATACATGCCCATAGTCCTAGCTACTCGAGAGGCTGAGGCAGGAGGATCACTTGAACCCAGGAGGCTGCAGTGAGCTATGATGGTACCACTGCACTCTAGCCTGGGCGACAGGGTGAGACTCTGTCTATTAAAAAAATGATAAGGAAGAGAAATTTTATTTACTATTAATTGAGTGGAAGTGGATCATCATAAAGATCTTCATCCTCATTGTCTTCATGCTGAGTAGGCTGAGGAAGAGGAAGAGGAGGGCTTGTCTTGCTGTCTCAGGGGTGGCAGAGGCGGAAGAAAATCCATGTATAAGTGTACTCGAACAGTTGAAACCCATGCTGTTCAAGGGTCAGTTGTACTCGATTCTGCCACTGTAGCACAAAAGCAGCCATAGACAATATGAGAACAAATGGGCATGATGGTGTTCCAATAAAACTTTATTTACAAAAGCAGGCAGAGGGCCGGATTTGGCATGAGTAGCAGTTTGCCAATCCCCGGATTTGGGGATGGGGAAGAAGAAAAAAGCATGAAGAAATGGTTTCTTAGGTTGGGTTTCCTGGAAGCAGAGCCTGACTGAGATGGGGATGTCTGCACTGGTGATTTATTGCGGGGTAGCTCTCAAGAGAAACTCATAAGGGAGTGAGGGAAGTGGGACGGGACTGGGAAACCAGCGAAGCAAAGATGTGGGTTTCAGAAGAAGGCTGGCCTGTCAACCTGATTCCATCGGGAGCTCTGGAGCGTGAGCAGAACCACAGAGTTGAACCCCTCCCCAGCTCTGCTGCCACCTGAATCAAAGGAGTTGGCCATTGTGAATCCTTGCATGGTCATTCATTGGCTATAGGTCTCCCCTGGGGTTTTTGTGGGCAAGGCAGTTCCTGTTTTGTTGAGGGCAATTCTCAGGAGAAGGAGAAGGGGGCAGCCTGAGCTATTTGTAGACAGTGCTTTTGGGGCTGAAGGATCAGCATATTGGCTTGGGAAAGGGTGTAGGAGTGGAGCACCAAGAACATGTACTACAAAGGGTGTGCAGTGAGATGGGTTGGAGGAAGGTGTGATTTTGGGATGAATAGTGGGATGACAAGTGGAATGAAAGTTAGGTTATGGGCCAGGCGCAGTGGCTCACACCTGTAATCCCAGCACTTTGGAAGGCTGAGGCGGGGGGATCGCCTCAGGTCAGGAGTTCGAGACCAGCCTGACCAACATGGTGAAACCCCGTCTCTACTAAAAATACAAAAATTAGCTGGGCGTGGTGGCAGGCGCCTGTAATCCCAGCTACTCGGAAGGCTGAGGCAGGAGAATTGCTTGAACCTGGGAGATGGAGGTTGCAGTGAGCCGAGATGGCACCATTGCACTCCAGCCTCGGCGAAGGAGAGTCCGTCTCAGAAAAAAAAAAAAAAAGAGAGAGAATAGAAAGAAAGAAAGTTAGGTTATGGTGCAAAACAAGAGGAAACAAGAGTTAATAGGGGATGGGGTGAAAGAGTGGAAAAGATTGGCTTGAAGTAGAGGGAAGGCAGTAGGGTAGTGGAATGCTGCTTGGGGTAAGGGTTGGGGTGAGTGTGAGGGTGTGTATTTGGAAAATAGAATGGAAGTAGAAAGGTGGTGGTGCTGGTGAATGGGTAATGGGTGGGTTCTGGGGTGGGCTGTAGGAAAAGGGATGCTTGGTGGGATGGCTGTTGAGTTGGTAATATGAGGAGGGTGGAACGGATGGCTAGGAGGGCTGGCGTTGGGTATGCATGGAGCTGCGGGGGGACCACATCATCTGTCCTGCAGGTATGGCATCCCTGGACAACAAGGCCACGGGGCGGATGGGGATGCGGGCAGCTGTGTATTACATGGTGACCACCATCATCGCGGTCTTCATCGGCATCCTCATGGTCACCATCATCCATCCCGGGAAGGGCTCCAAGGAGGGGCTGCACCGGGAGGGCCGGATCGAGACCATCCCCACAGCTGATGCCTTCATGGATCTGATCAGGTATGCCGACCTAAAAAATCACAATATGCATATTTGGAAAAGGAGACTTTATTTATTGTAAAAGGTTATAGCCTGCAAAGCGGTCATCCCACAGGCTGGGAAGTATGCGTCTGGTCAGGATCAGAGACAGGCACTTCTAAGGAGGAGGGGTTGGAGTAGGAGCTTTATGCTGAATAGGTTGGCTAAACATCCATATTCAACAGGTTGTAGGAGGAGCTATGAATATTCATGTAGGTGACCCTGATGCATGCATATTGAACAAAGTTGCATGTGACATATGACCCCATGTCCACTTTGGGGTGGAGACTTAACATTTAGTTAACATTTAAATGTATCACATTTAGACTTTATACATCAAAAGGTCTTTTCAGGACACAAAGGTACCCAAATGCACAGCCTCTGTCAATGAGCCAGAACCAGCCCATGGTCAGTGGTGTTATCAGGAGAAAGTTACTGAAATCGGTCTCTTGCCCAATCAAAGCTGTAGTTACGGCTGGTGGAACAAGGGCCCCATTAGTCCTTGTCTGTGAGCTTATGAGTTGTAATTATTTTAATATTGCTTATCTTAAGGCTAGTGTTTGTTTCACTCCTAGAGAAAAAGAAGAACCTTTTGGCAGCTAGAACACAATTTATTATTTGAGTGTAGGGTGCATGACTTCACCCCTGCATGGCATGGCCTTAGATCCTGCTTAGAGTTTGGTATCTTAATGCCACAAGGAGCGTGTTCTATCAGTCTTATGATTTCTGTTTTAATTAATTTAACACCCTAATTTAACATTGATGTGGGTTAGTTGTTGTGTCTAGATTATAAATGTGTCTGACCTCCTGTCCCATCATGGCCAGGAACTCAGTTTTGTTCTGGGGTCCACTTGGCCACGAGAGAGTCTGTTCAGCTGTTGGCGGTGGTGGTGGCTTAGGTGTTACTTTTAGTTTACAGGTGACTGTACTCATTTTGATATGATTTCTGACTCTACTTAAAACAACTCATACTCAAGGAGAGACAAAGGGGACAGGCTGCTGCAGGCTGGACATAGCAGCAACCATAGTACCCATTTTTGGTACCCAATTTCTGCCCTGGAGCCTTGCATATATTCTCCAACGGCAGCTGCTGCTAGAATATGATCTTAGGATATGACCCTCAAGGTGAGGTCAGAACAGCTGGTGTTTCCCTAAGCATCATTGGAGGGTGAATGATTCTCTTAAAGCAGCATTATTTTTTAATTTATATTTTATTTTATTTTTTACTTTAAGTTCTGGGATACATGGGCAGAATGTGCAGGTTTCTTACATAAGTATGCATGTGCCATGGTGGTTTGCTGCATCTATCAACCCGTCATCTAGGTTTTAAGCCCCACATACATTAGGTATTTGTCCTAATGCTCTCCCTCCCTTTGCCCCTCCCACCCCCTGAAAGGCCCCGGTGTGTGATGTTCCCCTCCCTGCGTCCATGTATTCTCATTGTTCAACTCCCACTTATGAGTGAGAACATGCAGTGCTTGGTTTTCTGTTCCTATGTTAGTTTGCTGAGAATGATGGCTTCCAGCTTCACCCACATCCCTGCAAAGGACATGAACTCATTCTTTTTTATGGCTGCATAGTAGTCCATGGCATACGTGTGCCATATTTTCTTTATCCAGTCTATCCCTGATGGGCATTTGGGTCAGTTCCAAGTCTTTGCTATGGGAAATAGAAGCAGCACAATTTTTTTAAAAATTAACTAAATTTTTTATTTTTATTATTTAAAAAAATATTTTGGCTATTAATAGTTGCCTTTACTCTTTTAATTGTTTTTATTTTTATTTTTGCACTCCATCACCCAGGCTGGAGTGCAGTGGCATGAGCTTGACTCACTGCAACCTCTGCCTCCAGGGTTCGAGCTATACTTGTGCCTCAGCCTCCAGAGTAGCTGGAATTACAGGCGCGTGCCACCACACCAGACTAATTTTTGTATTTTTAGTGGAGACAGGGTTTTACCATGTTGGCCAGGCTGGTCTTGAACTGCTGACCTCAAGTGATCCACCCGCCGAGCCTCTTAAAGTGCTGAGATTACAGGCGTGAGCCACTGTGCCCGGCCTATGAAAAAATTTTTAACTTTTAATTTCAGTAGCTTTTGGGGAGCAAGTGTTTCTTTGTTACATGGATGAATTATATAGTGGTGAATTCTGAGATTTTAGTGCATTTGTTCCGCTAGTAGTGTACATTGTACCTAATGTGTAGTTTTTAATTTCTAACTACTCTCCCCGCCTCCCGCTTCTGAATTTCTAGTGTCCATTATATCACTCTGTATGTTTTTGCATACTCATAACTTAGTTCCCACTTATAAGTGAGAAATACTGTATTTGGTTTTCCATTCCTGAGTTACTTCACTTAGAATAATGGCCTCCAGCTCCATCCATGCGACAGACATTATATTTTATTTTTTATTTTTTTTTAGACAGAGTCTGACTTCTCACTCTGTCGCCCAGGCTGGAGTGCAGTGGCACGATCTTGGCTCACTGCAACCTCTGCCCTTTGGGTTCAAGCGATTCTCCTGTCTCAGCCTCCTGAGTAGCTCGGATTAGAGGTACCCGCCACCATGCCCAGCTAATTTTTGTATTTTTAGTGGAGACGGGGTTTTATCATGTTGGCAAGGCTGGTCTCCAACTCTTGGCCTCAAGTGATCCACCCATCGTGGCCTTCCAAAGTGCTGGGATTACAGGTGTAAGCCACTGCACCCAGCCTATTTCATTCTTTTTCATGGCTGAGTAGTATTCCATGGTGTACATATATCATGTGTTCTTTATGCACTCATCAGTTGATGGGCACTTAGGTTGGTTCCATTTCTTTGCAACTGTGAATTGTACTGTGATAAACATATATGTGCAGGTATCTTTTTGATATAGTGACTTCTTTTCGTTTGAATAGATACCCAGAAGTGGGATTGCTGGGTGGAATGGTAGATCTACTTTTAGCTCTTTAAGAAATATCTCCACCAGGTTCAGTGGCTCATGCCTGTAATCCCAGCACTTTGGGAGGCTGAGGCGGGCAGATAACGAGGTTAGGAGATTGAGACCATCCTGCCTAATATGGTGAGATCCTGTCTCTACTAAAAATACAAAAAATTAGCCAAGCATAGTGGCAGGCACCTGTAATCCCAGCTACTTGGGAGGCTGAGGCAGGAGAATTGCTTGAACCTGGGAGGTGGAGTTTGCAGTGAGCTGAGATTGTGCCACTGCACTCCAGCCTGGGTGACAGAGTGAGACTCCGTCTCAAAAAAAAAAAAAGAAAAAAGAAAAAGAAATCTCCATACCATTTTCTACAGAGGTTGTACTAATTTACATTCCCACCAGCAATGTGTGAGTGTCCCCTTTTCCCCACATCAATGCCAACATCTATAGTTTTTTGACTTTTTAATAATGACTGTTTTAGCTGGAGTAAGGTGGTATCTCACTGTGGTTTTAATTAGAGCAGCAAGATTTTTGCCACCCAGATTCAAGGCTAGCCTTGGTTCTACCTTAATCATGGGCCTAGGGGAAACCTAAAGTTAAAAGGGTTTAGGAGTTTTCTGTGGATTTCTGAGGCATCACTGAGACAGGTGTGTTTGAATGAAAGTCCTTGAGGTGATGCAGGGCTCTGGCCACGTGCTCAGACAGACCTGGATTTGAGGGCCATCTGCCCACTTAGCAGGTCTGTGGTTCTGGGTAGCTTACATCAATTCTCTGAGCTTTGGTTTCTTTCTATGTGAAATGGGGCATTAAATAGCACTTACGTCTGGGGTTATTGTAGTGTTTAAATCAGATGATAGCAAGATGCTTGCTCAGTGCCCAGCCTAGAGGAAGCATTCATGTGCTGGCTGCATTATTGTTGTTCTTGGTGTCAGTATTACTGTTATCACCCTAGATGCCCTTCCACGGTCTAACCACTTTCCTTCTTCTGATGTTTCTCTGCAGAAATATGTTTCCACCAAACCTTGTGGAGGCCTGCTTCAAACAGGTCAGGGGGAAGTACACAGTTTGATCAGGGAGATTCGGAGGGTGGCGGGAGCTTGAGGCTGAAGGGATGGTGCAAGGGTAAGAGGTGGGAGGAAGGGCCGGACAGAGCAATGGGCAGGGGTTCTAGAGGAGTCTAGGAGAAAAGATGTATTTTCCATGGTGATCTGGGAGGGTTAGGGAGAAGGACTTAGGTCCGAGAACGGTAGCTCAGGCTTGTAATCCCAGCACTTAGGGAGGCCAAGGTGGGAGGATTACTTGAGGCCAAAAGTTCAACACCAGCCTGGGCAACAGAGTGAGACCCTCCCTCTGTCTTTAAAAAAAAAAAAAAAAGATTAAAAAAAAATTAGCTGGGCACGCCTGTCTCAGCTACTTGGGAGGCTGAGGTGGGAGGATTGCTTGAACCCAGGAGATCAAGGCTCCAGTGATCACACCCCTGCACTCCAACCTGGGTGACAGAGCAAGACCGCATCTCAAAAAAGGGCAAAAAAAAAAAAAAAAAAGAGGACTTAGGCCAAGGACTTCCTGAGCACAGGGCTAGAGGAGGCATCGAGGCTGGTGTAGAGATTCCAGAAATTTTGACCATAGATGGTTGAAGGGAGAGGCCCTCAACTCTGGTTAAGCGTTGCCCAGGGAGCTTGTGAACAATTCGGAATCTATACTACTTCAACACATTGGCTGTTCACTTCCTCATTCATTTATTCAGTCACTTATTCTTCAAAAAAATAGATTTTTAATTTATTTATGTTTAAATTCACACAAAAATTATATGTATTAATGAGGTATGACGATGTTTTGAAATATGTCTGCATTGTGGAGTGGCTCAATCAAGCTTATTAACATATCAATTACCTTATATACTTATCATTTTTTGCGATAAAAACACTGAAAATCTACCCTTTTGGTGATTTTCTTGTTTTTTCTGCTTTTTTTTTTTTGTGAGACGGTAGTTCTCGCTCGTCGCCCAGGGCCCTAGGGAGTGCGGTGCTGGGGAGTCTCAGCTCACTTGCAAGCTCGCCCTCCCGGTTGACGCCATTTCCTGCCTCAGCCTCCCGAGTAGCTGGGGTACTACAGGCGGCTCCGCCACCCCACGGACCCCGGCAGTTTTTTTTGTGGTTTTTTGTTCCAGTAGAGACGCGCGGTGTTCACCGTTTCGCCAGGGACTGGTCTCGATCCCTTGACCTGTTAGATCCGGCCCGATCTCGGCCTTCCCAAAGTGCTGGGGACTTACAGGCTGTGAGCCACGCCCGCGCCCGGCCGGTGTGTTTCAAGAATACACAATAACATTATTATTTTAGCATAGAATCACCCATTGTCGTATAATAGATTCTGTCTTGTTAATCACTTATTCCTCTTTCTAGCTGAAATTTTCGTTGTCCTTTACCAAACATCTCCCCGTTTTCCCTGTTTGCCCAGGATCCCCTGGCGAAGCACTAGTTCGTATTTCTGCTTCTTATGGAGTCAACTCTTTTAAATTCCGCGTATACGAGAGGCATTGCAATATTGTTCTGTGCCTGGTATTTCACGTAGCACATGTTTTTCAGGTTCAACCCTGTTGTCACGAATGACAGGATCCCCTCTGTTTCAAGGCCAAATAGTATTTTGTTGCATATGTATACCACATGTTCTGTATCCATTAATTCACTGATGGATACTTACCTAGAATTCATATCTTGGCTATTGTGAATAGCGCTACAATAAACATGGGAGAGCAGATACTCTTTTGAGATACTGATTCATTTCCTTTGGATATATACATGTTGTGGGGATTGCTGGTCCTATGGTAGTTCAATTTTTTTTTTTTTTTTTTGAGATGGAGTCTCCACTCTGTCGCCAGGCTGGAGTGCAGTGGCACCATCTCAGCTCGCTGCAACCTCCGCCTCCCAGGTTCAAGCGATTCTCCTGCCTCAGCCTCCCAAGTGTCTGGGACTACAGGCGCGCACCACCGCGCCCGGCTAATTTTTGTATTTTTAGTAAAGACAGGGTTTCACCATGTTGGCCAGGATGGTCTCGAACTCCTGACCTCATGATCTGCCTGCCTCGGCCTTCCAAGGTGCTGGGATTACAGGCGTGAGCCACGCCCGGCCGGTAGTTCTATTTTTAATTTTTTGAGGAACCGCCATACTATTTTTCATAATGGGTTTACTGATTCATTCACTCATTCTTCCACGCACTGTTCAAATCATTCATTCACTCATTCAGTTCTGCTGGATAAGATTTTCCAGGGTGTGGGAACTGGGAATCAGTGGTCTCAAGGAATTTCTCCAGGCGATTCTGATGCATCCGCTGAATTGAGTCTGGGCGCAATCTCTCTCTATTTCAGTTCAAGACGCAGTACAGCACGAGGGTGGTAACCAGGACCATCGTGAGGACAGAGAACGGGTCTGAGCTGGGTGCCTCCATGCCTCCTCCATTCTCAGTGGATAACGGAACCAGCCTCCTGGAAAATGTCACTCGGGCCTTGGGCACCCTGCAGGAGGTGCTGAGCTTTGAGGAGACTGTACCCGTGCCTGGCTCCGCCAATGGCATCAACGCCCTGGGCCTCGTGGTCTTCTCTGTGGCCTTTGGGCTGGTCATTGGTGGCATGAAACACAAGGGCCGAGTCCTCAGGGACTTCTTCGACAGCCTCAATGAGGCTATTATGAGGCTGGTGGGCATCATTATCTGGTGAGTCCTGGTCCGTGCCCATGGGAAGATGGAGCCAGTGCTGGGAAGTCAGGCTATGGGGAAGCTGCTGAAGGCTTGCTGGGGACTTTTGGTCATTCATTTATGTATTGGGTAATTTATTTACCCACTCATCAACTCATTCACTCATGTCTTTCTGCAATGATTTCGTCACTGGTTCACTTCCTTGTTCATCTGTTCATTCATTAATTCCTCTATGCATTGGTTAGTTTCATGGAATATCTCACTCATTCATTCGTGTCCTTCTGCAATGATTCATTCACACATTCACTCCTTTGTTCATCTGTTCATTCACTCATTCTTCTATGCATTGACGAAATCACTCATTCAGTGATTTATTCATCTACACTCATTCTTCCATGCATTGATTTACTCATTTCCTCATTCATTTGTTGATTCTTCTACGCATTGGTTAAATCACTGGCCAACTCACTAACTCATTCATTCATTCACACTTTTCTGCAATGATTTGTTCACTTGTTCACTCCCTTGCTTATCTGTTCATTCACTCATCCTTCAATGCCTTGACCAAACCATTCACTGACATTTATTTATCTACATTTATTATTTCATGCATTGGTTTCTGGATTTATTTGGTCATTCATTTATTTTTAAAAATTAATGTATTTTTAATTGACAAATAAAAACTGTATATATTTTCATGTGCAACATAATGTTTTGAAATATCTCTACATTGTGGAATGGTTCAGTTGAGCTAACTAACATAGACGTTACCTCACATGCTTATTTTTTTGTGGTGACAACACTTAAGATCTAGGCAGGGTGTGGTGGCTCATGCCTATCATCTCAGCACTTTGGGAGGCCAAGGTGAGAGAATCACTTAAGCCCAGGAATTTGAGACCAGCCTGGGCAACATGGCAAGACCCGTCTCTACAAAAAATACAAAAAAGTTAGCTGGGTGTGGTGGCATGCACCTGTAGTCCCAGCTACTTGGGAGGCTGAGGCAAGAGGACAGATTGAGCCTGGGATGTAGAGGCTTCAGTGAGGTGTGATTGCCGGGGTGACAGAATGAGACCCAGTCTCAAAAAAAAAAAAAAAAAAGAGAGAGATCACTTAAAATCTACTCTCTTTGTGATTTGCAAGTACATGATACATTGTTTTTAACTATACCTACCATGTAGTCCAATAGATCTCTTGAACTTATTTCTCCTATTTAACCGAAATTTTGTATCCTTGGTCAACATCTCCCCAACCTCCCTTCCCTGTGAGTCCCTGGTAACCACCATTTTACTCCCTGCTTCTGTTAGTTTGATTGTTTAGATTCCACAGATAAGTGAGATCATGTGGTATTTGTCTTTCTGTATCTTGGTTATTTCAATTAGCATAATGTCCTCCAGGTTCATCTGTGTTGTCACAAGCGACGGGGATTTATTCATCTCCTATGCATTGGTTAGTTACTATTCATTCATTCATACCTTTCTGCAATGATTTATTCACCCACTTACTTCCTCATTTATCTCTTCACTCACCAATAAATTCACTTATCATTCTCATTTTTCTATCGGTTCATTCATTTTCTTATTCATCTATTCACTCTTCCATGCGTCAGTTAATTCCCTCATTTATGCATTCATTCACTTGTAAATTTATTTACAAACTCATCCATGCATTAGTTAAATCATTGATGGACTCATCTGTGTATTTACTCAGTTAAGTCATTTATTCATTCTAATTCATTCCTTGACCCACTCATTCATCTATGCATTTGTTATTCTTTCATTCATTTACTCAAGTATTCTCTTCATTCACTCATTTGTTCATGTATTTGTTCACTCAGCTACTAACTTGTTTCATCTACTTGTTTCCTTGCTTTTTCATCCACTTGCTAATCCTTCCCTTCCCTTCCCTTCCCTTCCCTTCCCTTCCCTTCCCTCGTCTTTCCTTCTCTAAATTCCTTCATTCCTTCAGAAATTTCTTTATTCACTCAGCAGGCATTTTCCCAGGCAGACTTTGTCTTGACCTCTGGAATACAGAGACACAGTGCACTCATACTTGTCCTCAAGGAGCTCACAAAATCTTAGGGGAGACAGACACATTGTAGATCAATATAACAGAAGGTGGTAGGTTCTGTAGTAAAGGAACATTTAAAAAGTGTTGGGAACATGGAGAAGTGAGCAGTGAGTAGAGGGGTACACAGTGAATGCTTTCTGAAGAGGGAGTCATGAAGAAGGTCACCTGTTAACTGCATCTTGACAGGTGAGTAGGACTTCAACTGGACAGTGAGAGGGGAGACGTATTTCAGGCAGAGAGAAGAGAACATGCAAAGCTTGAAGGTACCTAAGTTGTTTGGAGAGTGGTGGGGCATTCAGGAAGGTGAGAGCATGGGGTAAGTTGGGAGTGGTGGTGGACGATATTAACAAAGCTGTCAGATCCCAAATGGGAGAAGACTTTGTACGTCATCCCAAACAATTGGAAAGTTGTATAGTGTTGTATGTAAAATGTTTATTTAGAAACAGAATGCTTGTTCCCCAGTGCCGCAAAGAAATAGCACTTGAACATAAATTTAATTATCTCAGCAAGGCAATTTTTACCTTCTGCAGAAAGGGTGCTCATTGCAGATGGAACAACGGCAAAAGCACACCTGAACAAAGGAGGGAAGCAATTTTTATCCCTTACACAGTTTGTCCCTGCTACTGTGTCCTGTCTCCATTGGCTGGAGCCAGACCTTACAATCTAAACTAAAACCCAACTGGCTAATAACTTAAAACTTTTCTAAGTAGGTAAAAGCAATGGAAAACAGAGGAAAAGAGGAAGTTGCTTACAAAAGGACTTAGAAAAAGTAATAACATTCCCAAATAAGGAAGGGGTATAGGCTGCGAGCTGGGACGTGCCTGTGAGCACATCCAGCACCGATATCTTTGTCAAACTACAAGGACGTAGAATGTACTATGTGCCTGTGAACGTGTCAATAGCTACATAGGATAGGGCTTAACAAAAAGTTACTAGCATAAAGTAAGGAGGCTTGAAGGAAGTTAGTCTTTAAAAGAAACGATTTTTAACACTTAAGATTTATTCTTTAACAAGAAGGGAAACTTTGAAGACTACATATAAGGAACTTGAGGCCAAGTTGAGGGCCTAGGAAAGCATTTGAAAGGAACGGGAGTGGGGAGCTCATTCAGGATAAGCAGATAATTAACAAGGAACAATGAAGGCTCAGCTAAATTGGGAACAATGAATGTATAGCACTGTCGTTGGCATGACTGGGTGAAATGTCCAGATTTGCCAGGTGGCTGAGTGTAGGGGGTAAGAAATCATGCACAATTAATCTTGGGCTGAGTAATTTTGCAGGGGATGAGGTGAAAGGATGGAGGTGAGGAAGTTGAGAGAGGGATTACTCAGAGTAAGCACAGGGGTGGATCTAGTCATGTTGACTTGGAGAAGACTCAGCAACTACTCGCCTGGGCTAACTGAGCCGTTTGGAGAACACAGATGTGACTGGAGAAGTCCCTCACATCCTCATTTTTGACTCAAGCTATTGTACCACCTTCCCAAGAGGTCCCCGCCTCCTCCAAAACATCCATGATGAACGTGAGTCAAAGTAGATTTCCCTTTTTTTTTTTTTGAGATGGGGTCTCACTCTGTTGCCCAAGCTGGAGTACAGTGGTGTGATCTTGGCTCACTGCAACCTCCACCTCCTGGGTTCAAGTGATTCTTCTGCCTCAGCCTCCTGAGTAGCTGGACTGCAGGCACACACTACCATACCTGACTAAGTTTTGTATTTTTAGTAGAGACAGGGTTTCACCATGTTGGCCAGGCTGGTCTTGAACTCCTGACCTCAAGTGATCCACCCTCCTCAGCCTCCCAAAGTGCTGGGATTATAGGCATGAGCCACCACGCCCGGCTGTAGACTTCGATTTTTAAAGAGAGAGGAGTAGCCACTGAAGCCTAGAAATGAGATGATGGTGCCGATGGCAGAAACTCACATGATTAACCAGTGGGCTGGATTGTGGGGAAAACAGGTGAGCCCCTGATGAACTTGCTTCTTTCATCTTCTTTATTCTCCTTTTTACTCACTACTCCAGCCACACTGGTCTTCTCTCTGGTCCTCCAGCACTCCTAGTGCATGCCCATCTCAGAGTCTTTGCATTGTGCCTGCAATGATTTCTCCCAGACACCCAGGGTACCTTCTTATCATGTAAAAGCTTAAATGTCACCTCTTCAGAGAAGCCCTCTCTGATCATCTACTCAGAAGCAGTCCCGTACAGTGACTCTCCTTTGCTGTTATCACCACTTGAAGTTTGTAATTGGTGCGTTTCTATGTGTACCTCTTGCTTTCCCCATTGAATGTGTCTTAGTACATGTCAGCTGCTGTAACAAAAATACATAGACATTGTGGCTTAAAGAACAAAAATGTATTTCTCACAGTTCTGGAGGGTGGGAAGTCTAAGATCAAAGCACCCACAGATTCCGTGTCTGGTGAGGGCTGTCTTCTGGTTCATGGAAGGCGTCTTCTTGCTGTGTCCTTGAATGGCAGAAGGATGGAGGGAGCTCTCTGGTGTGTCTCTTATATGGGCACTAATTCCATTCATGATGGCTCCATCCTCATGACCTAATCACCTCCCAATACTGTCCCACTGGGGGTTAGGATCTCAACATATGAATTTGGCTGGAGAGGGAAGGGGACATAAACATTTAGTCCATAACAGAATGTAAGTGCTATGAGGACAGGAGCCATGTGCCTGGAACATAGTATGTACTCAGTTAATATCTGTGGAATGAATGAATACATTGGTGATTTTGATAGAACAGGTGTTTTGAGAGGGAAATTATTAGGCTGGTGAATGAGTGAGAACAGGCACTGATAGGGAAGAGAAAAGGGGCATATAGTTTTCAGATGTGGAACAAAGAGTTGGGGGCAGAAGATAAGGGAAGCTTAGAAGGCCAGAGACAGGGAATGCCTTGGCAACGTCTAGGGAAGGATCCTGAAGGTAGTGATTATTTGGGGCATGGTTGAGAGGGCTTGAATGGGGAGTAGGCACCTGAAAGGTTGTATGTCCTGGAGTTGTAGGACCTTTTCTACCATGATGGGGAGATAAGGAAGAGCAGGAGGAGGAGGTGGGCTTCATTCATGGGGCCTGGTGGCATTCGTTAGTGTATGGAGAAGACTGGGATGGAGTAGGGTGCTATATCGTGGGTACTGCGTGGCTCCAGGGCCCTATATGAGCAAAGCCTTGGGGATGCCAGCCTCAGACCTGCAAGGGAGGTTAGGAGGGAGCCCTGACAGGTATGTGGCTCCCTCACACAGGTATGCACCTGTGGGCATCCTGTTCCTGATTGCTGGGAAGATTCTGGAGATGGAAGACATGGCCGTCCTGGGGGGTCAGCTGGGCATGTACACCCTGACCGTCATCGTGGGCCTGCTCCTCCATGCTGGCGGCGTCCTTCCCCTCATCTACTTCCTCATCACTCACCGGAACCCCTTCCCCTTCATTGGGGGCATGCTACAAGCCCTCATCACTGCCATGGGCACGTCTTCCAGGTATGGCCTTGCTCCCCATCCCAGCACCATTTCTGGTTGCACTTGTCCTTCATGTCCTCTCCTAGGGCATCTGCCCTCTCCCTTCCTTAAACACCTCTTCTGAGACGTCCAATAATGTCCAGGGCTCTGGAGGGCCTCCAGCTGGTGCAACACCTGGGGGCCAATCATTGTCCTGGGCTGGCTCTCCTGATCTCCTTTTCTCCTTTCCTGTTTTTTAACTTTCTAAGGAGGAGAACCAGGTACCAATTTTGAGGTTAAGAGGGAAGGTTCCAGAATGCCGCATGAGCTCAGTCGTTTCCTAGCTCAGAGGGTGTCATCTCTGCTTGTGAGATGGTGTCTGGGAGATCTCTTGGCTGCTGCTTCCTCCTCCTCCTCCTCCTCCTCCCTTCCTTCTCTCCCCTTTCCTCCTCCTTTCCTTCCTTCCTAACTCCCTTCTTCTTTGTGTAGTTTTAGGGATTAAATTAAAGAGCATCATCCCCCAAGCAAAAAACAATGAAAGTAGCACAAACCAAGCCAAAAAGATGGAACAATTTTTTTTTTGACGACAAAGTCTCAGCGGTGCCCAGCGGAGTGCAGTGATGTGACTCGCCAACTGCAACTCGGCCTCCTACGGTCAAGCCGATTCCTCCTGCCTCAGCCTCCCAAGTAGCTAGGATTACAGGCGTGTGCCACCACACCTGGCTAATTTTTGTATTTTTAGTAGAGATGGGGTTTTGCCATGTTGGCCAGGCTGGTCTTGAACACCTGGCCTCATGTGATCCACCCACCTTGGCCTCTCAAAGTGCTGGGATTACAGGTGTAAGCCACCACGCCTGGCCAAAAATATCTTTTTTTTTTTTTAATTTTCTTTTGACATGAGGCCTCACTCTATCATCCAGGCTAGAGTGCCGTGGTGTGATCTCCACTCACTGCAACCTCCACCTCCCAGGCTCAAGTGATCCTCCCACCTCAGCCTCCCAAGTAACTGGAATTACAGGTGCGTGATTCCAGTCCTCCTGGCTAATTTTTTTTAGCCCTCCCGGCTAAGTGTTTTTTTTTTTTTTTTTTTTGTAGAGATGGGGTTTTGCCATGTTGGCCAGGCTCATCTTGAACTCCTGAGCTCAAGTGATCTGCCCGCCTCGCCCTCCCAAAGTGCTGTGATTACAGGCACGAACCACTGCACCTGGTCAAAAATAGAATTTTTAAAATTGCCCATAACGCTGGTCAGGGTATCTTGGTGCCTCTTGGTCTATGCCTATGTAAGACTAATGTCACTGTATCCTAGAATTAAACTCACGTAGTCACCGCTGAGCTGGACACCCAAAGACCCTCTATGAGTCCAGGATTCCAATCGTATGATATAAAGCTGATCACAGAGCACATGTCCTGTGGACAGGCTTACCCCAAATGAGATGCCCACTTCTTTGACTAAACTCGCCAACCAATTAGGTCACTTTTCTCCCATAAGACATGGTGGGGAGATGGATAGAGAAAGTTAACATAGCTGAGGTCAATGATGGTGCAAACAGGGGAGTCTGGAATAGGGGCCCTCCCTGAAGTCAGCAGACCTTTGGTCCTGTCCTTTCTGGAAACGGATAGGTAGAATGAACTAGTGCCATAAACTAGTGTGTAGTCATTGGTCTTAGCTATTGGCTTTAAGTGGGTCAAGAGATCTTCAGCTTGGGAGACCCTCATTGCTGTTTTCTCCCTGTATGGTGAGGAGTTGCTCCTTTCCTTTGTGCAGTTATCAGCCTCTGAAATGTTATACCCTTGTCTTCTGCCTCTTGCGGAGCCCCCACCTGGCCTGCTCAATGTTCTCAAGGGGAACGCTCCTTCGGCTCATTTTTGCCCAGGCCACGCCCAGCCCATGCCCTGCTCTGAGCCCCGCCCTGCCTGGCCACGCCCTATTCTCAGTTCTTCCTCACCTGGCCACGTCCTGCTCTGAGCCCCGCCTCACCTACTCCTCCCCTGTTCTCAGCCCCGCCCATGTGACCCAGCCTTCCCCCTTCTCAGCCGTGCCCCACTAGGTCACGCCCTGTTCCCAGCCTTTCTTCGGCTTGGCCACGCCCCATTCTCTGCCCTGCCCCACTAGGCCACACCCTGTTTCCAGCCCCGCCCCCACCAGGCCACGCCCCGTCCTCAACCCCGGGCTCTTTCCCCCAGCTCAGCAACGCTGCCCATCACCTTCCGCTGCCTGGAGGAGGGCCTGGGTGTGGACCGCCGCATCACCAGGTTCGTCCTGCCCGTGGGCGCCACGGTCAACATGGACGGCACTGCCCTCTATGAGGCCCTGGCTGCCATCTTCATTGCTCAAGTTAACAACTACGAGCTCAACCTGGGTCAGATCACAACCATCAGGTGAGGGGATCTGCCAGCAGATGAGACTTCAGCGATCTTCAGCTTGGCTGGGAGGGTTGGGGAGGGAGGAGAGGGCCACAGCTGGAGCTCAGAGGAGCCCTCGGATGTTGGAAGGGGGATGTGGAAACAACCCAACGCCGGATGAGGTGAAAGGTAAAGTTGCCACCTGAGGCTGTCAGGAGCTGCCAAGACGTTCCCGTCAGTTTCCCTCTCACGTGGGAGATCCCTTTGTCCAGTGTTTTCCAAAGCATGGCTGGTGCATCCTAATAACCCGAGGTTCTTGTTATGAATATAGATTCTTGTATTTATAGGCCTTATACATTTATCTATTCCTGTGTTTATAGGTCCTATCATCCAGTGGTTCCAACTTAGTCATTATAAAAATAGCAGTGAGCTGTTGTTATCTCCTTCAGGTCTTCAGCGTTACTTTTTCAGGGAAGCCCTGTTTAAAATGGCATATCCGGTCTTGCTAAGGAGGCACCGTTTCCCCATGTAGTACCATCTCCATATAGTATGAATTTTACTTATTCATTTTGTTTGTTATCTGCTTCCCATACTAGAATGTAAACTCTGCCGGGCGCGGTGGTTCATGCCTGTAATTCCAGCACTTTGGGAGGCCGAAGCGGGAGGATCACTTGAGGTCAGGAGTCTGAGACCAGCCTGGCCAACATGGTGAAACCCCATCTCTACTAAAAATACAAAATTTGCTGGGCGTTGTGGCTGTCGCCTGTAATCCCAGCTGCTCGGGAGGCTGAGGCACAAGAATCACTTGAACGTGGGAGGCGGAGGTTGCAGTGAGCCAAGGGTCTCGCTCTGTTGCCCAGGCTGGAGTGCAGTTTAAAATCTGTCATTTTACATAGTTGCCTTTCTTTTTTCTACTAAGAATACCTAAAATCTACTCTGTTAGAAAATTTCCAGTGTACACCCAAATATCATTAACTGTACTCCTCCTATAGTACTTTAGATCTCTAGATATATTCATCCTACATAACTGCATTTTTTTTTTTTTTTTTGAGACAGAATCTCACTCTGTCACCCAGAATGGAGTGCAGTGGTGCAGGCATAGATCACTACAGCCTCAGCCTCCTGGGCTCAAGCCATCCTCCCGTCTTAGCCTCCTAAGTAGCTGGGACTACAGGCATGCACCACCATGCCCTGCTAATTAAAAAAAA